GGGGGTTTGGTTTTATTTTTTCCCCTCTGATAGTTCCTTGATTAGGGTGTTGTTTACTGCTTGATTGTGTGTCTGGTGATAATCTTGGTGTTAATCTCCTCAGATGTTACCTAGCCAGGAAACGAAGCGTCTGCAAGAAAACAACCAAGCTCAGAGAACCCCAAGGACTCTGCAGTTCAACCCTGAGCTACATATATTCCCTTCTATTGGCACAATGGCCAATCTATATGATGTCTTCACTGGAGGAACAGTGTGAAATTCTCAGTCCCCTTTTTGTGCATGGGGTGAGGGGGGTGGTAGTGAAATAGATGCATTAGGCTGAGAAGGCAGGGGTGGCTTTGAAAGGCATGAAAATAGATCTAAGATAGGTGGCTCTGAGCAGGTCTGCTGGAAACTAGCAGTAATTTCCTGCCATTTTAAGTTGGGAGATAGATATATGTCCTCAAATAGCCACATCACAGTTAAAAAGTAAAGAATATCTCCAACCCCCACCCCAAAATCTCACATATGATTCATTCTGCAGCCCTCCCAACCCAAAAGCATTAAGTGCAGCCCTTGGCCACCCAAAGATTAGCCGTGGGCTAAGTGGACACAGGCAAGGACCCCCAACCTTATTTTAAATGAACTTGGGGGAGATGGCTTTTATGTCATTCTTGTAACACACACACGAATTAGCCAACTGCATTTTAACTGAACCCACTGGGGGAATCCAGGCTGTGCTGCGGTAAATCTACAAAACTGAGCTAATTTGGTAAACCATGATGGTTAACCCTGAGTTTGTAAATTGTAGGAAAGCGGCCTTAATCATGCCTTGCTATTGGGATCTCCCATGGACAGAGGTGGGGTGTCAGTGTAGTGTAGTGTAGAGTAGTCCCTACTCTGGAAGAATCATCTGAATAAATCTACACGCTTTTGGTGTAAACCAGCATTGATTTACAAATTGTGGCTCTTGATGGGTTACAGCAAGTCTAGGTTTGTGTGTGCACATGTACACAGTAGTAGAAATTTGTTTCACATCACAGCCAGATCCTCCTAGTCTTGCAGTCTCTTCAAATTCATATGCCACGCCTGCCACACTTCCACAGGAACTGTCCAGCTAACATTGGTGCTTTACCTTGTGATGCTCCTGAGCGCCCTGTGATTTTGCACAATGGCAAGAAAAGTTTTATTTGATCCAACTTTAACTTTGCCCAGTATATATCGCTTAGGTTAAAGGTTTGGAATTTGTTGCCATAAATCAAGGGTCCTCAAACTTCAACTCATCACCCTTCATGACGCTTCAGATTCATCAATAATTTATGATCAGAGTATTAATATCATCGTTTGGGGTTCATCAATCCCCAAACATTTATGATATAAAAATAAGTTAATAAAGACTATTTTAGTTAAAGTACTACAAACAATAATAGTAGTCAACTCAAAGCCACTCTTGCTGGAGCCTAATCATCCAACTGTGGGTAATACTGTCTTACCACTAGCCCTCTCAACTTCAGGACTAGGGACCAGCGTGGAGCTCTACAGAGACCCCAAAAGATGAACTGACTCCAATCAACCTACCATCATTTATTGACCCCCTTTTGACCCCCCGACATTTACTGACCTCTTGGATAGTCCCATCAACCCTTGTGGTCAATATTGACCATTTTGGGAAACCCTGGCATAAATGGATGTAATCAGTAATGACTGCTTATAGATATCAAGATACAGGTAGTCCTCATTTAGCGACAATTGGAACCAGCAACTTGGTTGCTAAGTGAAGTGGCCACTAAGTGAAATATCTTAATTCAGCTTTCCTTTGCTTTACAGACCTCTGAAGGTCATAAATGTGAGGACTGGTTGCAAAGTTATTTTTTCATTACTATTGTAATTGCAAAAGGTCACTAAACAAGGCAGTCACTAAATGAGGACTACCTGTATCTTGAACCCCACTGTGCTTTTTCTGTGACCACAAACTCTTTCTATACATAGTCACCTTCCTTCCTCCCCACATCTACCTTCCTTCCTGTCTTCCTCTCTCTCCCCTCCCTTCCTTCCCTACCCACCCACCTATCCATCCTCATCCTATCTCAGGCACTTCCCCATCTATTGGCCCTTGAACAAACTCTCCATTACTACACCTTGTAAAATTACTTTCACTTCATGTTCAGAATCATTTTTGTTAACTCAAGCAAAGGATCATTGTGGCAAACAGCTCAGTGAAAACGTTGACCCAACATTGGCAGCTGTGAAAAAAAATGAAAGCAAACTCTATGGTAGGGATTATTAGAGACGGTACAACAAAATACCCTACATGCTAAGAGGGAAGTCAGTCTCTGGACCCTGGCTTATAGAAGAGCCTTTCCCTTGCGCTACATTAGCTCCTGCCCTGATGACTTTGTGGAAACTGGTCAAACCAAATTACTATGGAGAGCATTTGGGTTGGTGCCACCAGGAGTTAGTGGTGTAACCCTGTGGTTTTGTGTGTTTCATGTTTACGTTATTGTGATGTTAATTGCCAGGAATGCTTGCTGATTACAGCAGTATCCAAAGCAAACGATAAATCAAAAACCCAGCCCTGCTCTTCTAAGATTTCTGGTAACTGTTTTGAATGAAGCTTGTTCCCCTCTGCCTTTTGCATTTCATTAGCTCTGGGCGCACGTCTAAGGCAAATGGCAAGCCCAGGCAGGACCTCAGGCAGAGATGGAAGCAGGAACTTGCTTGTTTATTGTATTAATTTGCTTCCCACAGAGAACTATCTTTAAAAAGGCAAGACCTAATGCAAAACAGATGTTTTTACTTAAAGTAGTCTAGAGCACTGTTTCTCAACCTCAGCAACTTTAAGATGCGTGGACTTCAGAGACTGTTTCATCTCATTAGAGATGAGTGTTTCTTCATTAGAAGAACAGGAGGAACAAACGGGTCTTTTTAATGAAGCAACAAGATTCTGAACAGAAGTCACTGATGTATTTAAAAAAGACAAGGGAAAAAAACAAGACAAGATCAACAGGCGCCTTTTAAAAATCCTGCCACGGAAGCAAAGGGAGAGTCCCCGAACCAAAGGACTTTTCAACTGGTAGGGGGTGGTGGAGGAATGCTCCCAGGTCCTTCTGTGGGGAGAGGGGGCCTCAGCATGGGGGGCATTGGAGCAGGAGGAGGGACGCCAGGGGCTGGGGGCAACTGGGGCGGACCCGGAGGTAAGGGCCCCGTTGGGGGAGGCATTGGAGGCAGAGCCATGCCCCCAGGTGGAGGGGGGGGAAGAGACTCCGGGGGGGGGGGGCGGCGGGGGACGGCGGGCCTGGGGGGGGGGGGGGGGAGGGGGGGGGGGGGGGGGCGCGTGGGGCGGGGGGCAGCTGGGGCGGGCCCGGAGGTAAGGGCCCCGTTGGGGGAGGCATTGGAGGCAGAGCCATGCCCCCGGGTGGAGGGGGGGGAAGAGACTCCGGGGGGGGGGGGCGGCGGGGGACGGCGGGCCTGGGGGGGGGGGGGGGGAAGAGCCTCGGGGGGTGGGGGCGGGGGCGGTAGGCCGTTCATGGGGGGGGGTGGGGGAGGCCTCTTCACAGTAGCTGGTGCTGGGATACTTTGAGGGGCAGGTGGCTTCTCCATCTTGAAATGGAACTGAAGGAAGAACTAGAAGGAAACAAAAGGGGAGAAGATTAGATTTGACTGGACTGCAAGCCTCCAGTTAGATCTTCACCAAGGGCTCCCTGAAAGCAGGACTGGGGAAAAAGCCTTGCACAAGAGCTTCCTTGAGCCTTTCCGATCGATTCAGTCGGCAATTCCCAGAGTTCCCAGCCAGCTGGGTCAAAGGGCTGGCTACTAATTCTGCCATCCCAACCGATGTGGAGGACCCTGGTTATGGAAGAGATATTTATATGAGGCAGAAGTGTGCAGAATGATTTTACAGATTTTGTTTTAGAGATTCTGCCTCTGAGGAAGGTACGTGATC